TCTTGCTGTCATGTATGACAGCATGCCAGGAATTTGTGTGTGGATCTTGTGTTTGATGTGACTAATGGTATTCTTCCCTTTGTGACAAGTCCATATGAATATTTTTCTGCTTTCTAAAGCTCTCTTTAATTTTGAGATGGTTTGTCTGAAATAAAGCTTTGAAATTGCATTAAGAGGAAGGTGATAATTGCTTTGTTGCATGATAGAGGAGAGCAAATTTTCTTTAATGATTCCTACCTTTTCTCTGATTCAGGGATGTATTTAACTAATGATTCATATTTCAAAGTTGCTGTTGCTTGTTTGGCCATCTCTTCTTATATGAGCTGTAACAGTTTAAATTATTATTATGTGCCTTTCTCAGGAGCTGCTTCCTCAGGGTGACTCTTCTATGAGTGACCTGTGAGTGTGTCTGAGAATTGTGTCATTTTTTGACAGGCTGAACATGTCCAGTCAGTGTAGCTGTTCCTGCCTGTACAAGTGGCTTCACTCTTCTGTTTCCAAACACTGTGGTATCTCCAACTGTACTCTCTTTGAGGTTATTATTTATGCTTTAATAGTCACTGGTATTCCTGAGCCCTGTGAGAAATGTTTTAACTGCTGTGCCTTTAATCTCAATTGCTTTGATACAGGTATCTTTTATAGTGTCAATGACTTAGAGGAGTTTGTAGCTGCCCAGTGTCAATTTAACAGGTTCTTTTCCCTTGTCTCTTTCTCCTTGGATGGGCACATAATGTAAAAGCAACTCACAGGGTAAAAAGTTTAGTTCTTGACCTGATAGATCAGTATACAGATGAAGTCAAGCAGATGTTTACATTAACATTTAATTGAATTTATAACAGGCTACCACATGTTACATACATTAGTAATAAGCATTAACCAAAATAAAAGAAAACATTATGCATGTGCTCTAAGTAGCAGGATGACATGAGGAAAAGATCCCTCAGCTCCTGAAAATGTTGCTGTTGATGGGATGAGAGGTGCAAACCAGCTGTACCTGCTCAGGCTTTTTTTCCTTATGTTCCCCATGAATAGGGGATCTGGCCTGTCAAAGTTAACTTCAAGGCTTTCTTGAGCCCATTATAGGGAAACTGAAGCTTTGACAAAATGAAGAATAACCACAATGAGTTTCAGTGCGTTTTGGAGAACTCTACAGACAGGGCTGCATCTAAAGCTTTCCAAAGTTAACAGGAAATTTTCTGTTGGCATCACAAGGTTGTGACTGCCAAAAAATATCTTCTGTCACTTATTTAAGAGACACACAGACTACCTTGAGTGAGGGTCCCATGGTGGTAACAGCAATCCAATCCATGGGAGAGCTGATTTTACTGTTGTCTTTCAGCAATCTTGGGGTGGTTTCCAGGCCTGATTTCCATCTTAGCTGTGTTTCCAATATATCCCATCTAAAATTCCTGCCTTTATGAAACAACTCCTCATCTAGTGACTCATTTTTATTTACCACTATTGGACTATTGCACTCAGAAATTGCCAGCACATCTCTATAAGGTGGTGCTAAGTTTTCTTGTTTTCTTTTTCTGTGTTGGAATTCTGTCAGTATACTCACTGACTCTACCTATTTTTGGCTTAAATAAATTTTAGTATTTTTCACTTGTGCTGTGTAGGTTCTCAAGAAAAGGACTGTTTTCAAATAAGATTGTGAATGACTGTAACAAAACCCTAATGTCAGTCCATGAAATACAGTTATAAATAAAAATGTCAGAACTCTGCAACTTCCTGTCTGTACTTATTAATGTTGTGGATGCTCACAGTGCTTTCAGGATGATATCTGACTTGTTATTTAAAGTAACAAAGTGTATTGTATCAATAACAGCAGTGCTCTTATTTTAGATAATACATTAATTTACCTTTATTATTATTATAATGTCCATTTCTATGAGTTGTCAGTAGAAACTTTCATCTCTGTCACTTCTGAAGACTGAAAATGAATTTTAGTGACTCAGGTAGTGTGAAGGCAAAGAGCATCCAGTAATAAGAAAATTATTAGAATTACTGGTCTTTCCAAAACAGACATAAAAGCCATTTACCAGCATTATAACTGTTTATGTGGAAACTCTCAGCAATACTTCACACTTTTGTCAGCTAAGCATTATTTATCTACATAAAGACATAAATACCTCTCATGTTGGTAGCAAACCTTAACAAGAGATTATGTTCAGAAATAAGTGGGGTGGTGGTGTTTTATAATGGAGGTAACCCTAGGAACTGTGAATTGCTCTTTTATCTCCGTGAATTGTTAAATTTCATATTTCAATATCACATGCTGAGCACCAAACCTGTAACTCAAGCATGCTGGAAATGAATGAAAATTTTCCTCCAATCATAATTATTTATGTGATTCAATTTGGTTTTCTTCCTGTATTTTGCTTTAGTTATGTTTATGCCAGAACAACCAAATTCACAAGTTTAGTAAAGAAATATTTGCCATAACTATGAATTAACAACATACATTAGTTAGGATAAATGTAAATCATTCACTACCAGCAAATTTTAAACACATAACCTTTTACATCAGATACCCTCACCAGGATCTCATAGATACGATGATTTTTGATGTGACACTCTTCAGTTTCACAACATCTTTTGGCACTGAGAAACGTAAGCACTCCATGAATATTTTACAGTCTGTCATGTATTTTTGCCATTATGAAGAATCCTATAAAGTAGAACCTCAAAATCAAACATTTTGTTCCATTTCTGATGTTTGATAATAATTTAAAATATATACTTTTCTGTTTGTTACTTGCCATGGTATTTGCTGTTCCCCAAATCAAAGTATGTGATTTCCACATGAGACCACTTAATTTTAATTTGTCATTTATACTTTACAGAGAGGTCTGTGAAATTTGAAGTATTTATTTCTCTGTTTCCCTTTTAAGCTATGTTGAATATATTTTGTTTGTTTGCAACCTATATGAAGAGTCCTTATATTTTCTATTACTTGTACTATCCATATGTAATTTTTTGTGAGGTTTTTGCACAAAAGTTTGCAACATCTCTTAGAAATCTTAATGAAATTTTGTTGAAGACCAAATATGTTATTTGTGTGTTGCCCAATTTTTTAAAAAAGCGGGAGTTACAGATTCATTGCAATCCTCTGACATATTGAAAAAAAGCAACGAAATGAAAATCTGCAAAGTGAGTCTTCATTTTACAAGCACAAGTATTAGAAGTGAAAGGGTGTATATTAATAAAGTCCCCAGATAAAATTACAAAGACACTGAAGATGCAACACAGCTAATCTTGTTTATTCAATTAATAGAAATCTCAATACGAAACATATTCTAAGACTTAGAAAATGAGCATTTTATGGTCTTTCAATTGGGCATCTGGAGAAATTATACTGTATAATGAGATACTTTGGGTAATTTTCTGGTTCTTGGTCTTACACCATACAAGTTCTTGCTTAGTAATCATACATAGATACAATGCAATCATATTGCTTATTTTTTCCTAGAAATGAAGTAATTCTGCTGCATTTCTGTGACTTCAAATTATGCCACTGATATTGAAATTTAGATATGAGAGCTGATGGCTGGAAAAAGTACCTCTGCAACAGCAGTAGAAAAAACGTAGGAAAAATTAAATTATTTACATTTTTCAATCCTGCAGTGCCTACCAAGCTTCTTATTTTTAATTAAAACAGATAAATCAGCATCATTATATTCCACTATTTGTCTTTTCAAGCAAAACAAATAAAGTAGTTGCAGCTGCTATTTATTTAATAAATTGAAGGCTGAAAATAACTAGTAGTTTCAAAGAATGAATTAATTTACTAAGCATCAGAGAGAAGGATAGGAGTAAGGGAAAAGGTCTGGTGCTTGTCTTAGAAAGAAAAGTTCCTGGATGTAAAAGGGAGCTGAAGTGAAAGGTAGCAAATTCAGGTAGCTCACATGTAGCAAGTTCAGTGAATTCAGGATGGTTCAGGAAATAGAACTGCTGAATCAGTAAAAGCAATTTGTTACAGTTCATTTTATTGATTCATCCTGAAGCTTTTTCTTTCTGCTGATAATTTGGTTTGAGGTAATTCCTCCTTACTCCCCATCAGGAAAGGCACTTGAGGTCCTAGGAACTCCCTTTTGTGGTGATGTAGATGCCTTGACTCACCACCAAGAGCACAGCAGCTGCCAGCTCCTTGTCTTTCTGCCAAATGTGGATTCCTGCCTGAAGAGGAGAAGGGAACACTGTTCCTAGAATTCCCTTTTTTTTTTTTTTTTCTCCCTTCTGTGCAGTGAAAAAACTCATGAAATCTTGATGGATTTGAAAGAAGAGGTTTATCTTCATTCCCAGGTGAGCAATGAGCTGACTGCCTGCACACAGTGTAGCATCTGCCAAAGTAGCTGGGCAGATTTACCTGGGCTAGAACATCTCCGAGCTCTCCCCTGGGAGCTGTCTGAGATGTACAAGGGAGATGGTTATGTTCTACTCTGTGTTGTATTATGTAGAGGACTAAGAAAGCAAAACTTCCCTTAGAAATGCAATAATAGGATGATTCTAGGACATATTGCAGAGAGAAACAGATGTGCACCCTGCGAAAAGAAGCATTTTATTGCAATGGTTGATTTGATTTTCTAGTAAATTGAAATTACCAAAAGAAACCTCAAACCAACGAGAAGTAAACCACCCAAAAGTAAAATAAAAACAGCCACAAGACTACAAGGAAGCAAATTATAGGCTCCCTCAAGACCTAGAAACTATCATGTCAGTCACTGATGTGAAAGGGACAGGTTTGCCTGAAAGATTGATGCCATGTTCCCATTCCACCTGAATTCCTTTTGCACAAAGCAGCTGTGCTCCTTCGCTCAGGAGACTTCCCTGAATTGGTCTTTCCCCTAAAAAAAAATCTGCCAAAGTCAATCTTGTCAAGGAAATTACATACATATTTTTAATATAATGTAGAAGCAAGTTTTTCCTGAATAATAGACACATATATTTTCTTCAAATGCTTAACTAGGGCTAGTTAACTACCAGATGAAATAAAATAATCAAAATCAATCTGAATTTTTTCAGGTCTGAATTTTGGAATTGTGTTTGTCCAGATCAATTGCTTGGATTAAAATTACTGTGAAGTACTGAATTTCTGTGCCACATACTCCTCTGTGTTGCTTTCAAGGTAAATTTGGATGTTTTATACTTACAAAATGCTGATCTTCTATTTCATTGTAGATCAATTAACCCACCATGTTTAATGATTTAACAATCGAGAGGCAAGCTATAGCTTTCAGTGCTGAGCCAGTGATTTTTGAGAAGTCTGGAAGACTTTGCTAAATGATCACTGAGTCTATATGTTGTTCACATCTGCATTTGCTGTGCAATTTCACAGTGCATTAACTGCATTCCTCAGGTATGCCATGCACCCATCCACGCACTACTGCTCAATCTGCATTGGCACTGAGGGCTGAACTACACACCTGAGGAACTTATCACCATGTATGGAATCAATGCATTTCAGAAAAAGGGTTTAAAATGTCAATTCTGATCATAGGGTTCAATACTAAAAGGAAAAGCAGATCCTGAGGAAGCTCATGTGACTCTGTATTGTCTGTTGCCTGAGAAAGGAAGCATCAAAAATCCCTTGTTTAAAATTGGATATGTTTGGGGCTTACCCCATCTATGGCAGCATTGCACAGCAATAACCTAATTCTCACAGTATTATGTGCAATAAAGGTACTTTATAGATTTTTCTTGGCAGTGCATTATTCAGTTCAGTCCATTGCACCAGTACCCTGGCTTAGACCTGCCATGACAATAGATGATAGCTCTGGTGTTGAGAAACCACAAGTTTTAATTATCAGGGAAAGACCAACAACAATTTTTCTTGTATTGGTGAAATCTGACTCAGTGGTGTGATCAGGTTCAGTAATGGAGAGAAATTTTGTATTATCAGTGTATTTGCATCTTGGAACAGATTAATATTCCAGCCCTGCTTTACTTGACAATCTCATGTTTATAACAGCTATGATTTAGTTTCTATTTCTGTTATTATATATGTGTGGTTTTCAAATGATGCAAACTATTTTATTGAAATAAGCTGAAACTACAGCTTGTAACAAGCCGGATATTTTAATAAGTTACTATAAATGCATAATGAAGCTACCCCAGTATACAATAAAAATTAATTTCATATGTCTTTTAAAAATTACATAGTCATGTTTCATTATGTATGCTACAGGAATTTGTTTATTCTAATATATTTCTGATAGTTGCTTCATTTCTAATACTTTTTTCATAATAAGTGAAATGACCATTTATTTAGAAATTTACTTCCTGCAGCTGGAGTGAAGATTGGTAGACTTTACTATGCAGTTAGGCCAATATTCTTTTTTTATTAAAAATATTATCTAAATATGCTCATTATTTTCTGGCTTGACAATTATTAACCTTTGTACCGATATACAGATGGTCCATAACAATAATTTTTTGCTTTAGAAAAATAGATCTGTACAGCTGAGCAGTAGTTTTGATGGGTTTCTTTCCCTTGTGCGAAAACAAAGCCAAAGAAAGCTGGGGATGATGGATTAGGTTATAGTCTCCTTATCTGCAAAGGAAGGGTTTTTTAAACCCCTCACTGAGTACTATTTTATGGGTTCTGCTGTTCCTGGGCAGCCAGGGGAGCCCAGCTCTGGAGAGTTCTGGGCTGGGGCTGGGTTTGGGACTGGGCTTTGGGGCTGGATTTGGAGCTGGGTTTGGGTCTGGGTTTGGGACTGGGGCTGGATTTGGGGCTGGGGTTGAGGCTGGGTTTGGGGGCTGGGCTTTGGGGTTGGGGATGGGTTTGGGACTGGGGTTTGGAGCTGGGTTTGGGGCTGGGCTTTGGGGCTGGGGCTTGGGGCTGGGCTTTGGGGCTGGAGCTGGGTGCACAGAGCCTGAGTCCTGTGGTTCTTCTTCCCAGCTTCAGCAGCAGCAGGACTTAGGGCTGCTTGGGAAATGGCACTGCTGGCTATGGGAGAGGGATGGAATTGCAGGAGTTCTGCTGCTGAGGAGGATAATCCCAAGTGTCCCTGACACTGCTGGCAGCACATTCCCAACAGCATCCCAGGGCAGTGTTAGGAATGGATGTGGGGGTTTAGATAAGTCCTTGCCTTTTGCCCAGGCCTCTGGCAGCAGGCAGCAGCTTTATTGAGGCCAACACCCCAAGACCCACTCTTGTTCTTGATAATGGCTGGTTGGGTCTGTTATGTGAGGGCACGAGGCTGGGCGAGGCTGTGTCTGAGGCAGTTAAAATGCATTTCCCTGAAGTGTAAGGCCTTAGGAGGGTCTTGTTGTACCAGCTCACTCTGAGATTCATCTTCCCCCTGAGGGCAGCCAGCTGCCCAAACCCTGCTCATTTTCAGACAGAGCTTTCTGCATTTTGTGGCCATTAACAAGGACAACGCACATATTTGCAAATTTGCCAGCTTCTCTTTCCTTCTGCTCTCCCTTCTTTTGTCCAAAACAACACTATGTTCTGGCACCATTATCTCCCACAAACTGGGGTTTATTTCACTGCTTCTGCTTGGTCTGATTTTGGCTGAACACCACAGTTCAGTTCACTGTGTTTATTGAGTAGTCTGATAACTACTTTGCAAGGGTTTATTTTCCTTCCAAAGAGAAAAGCTGTTCATTTGGTCATGACACTCAAACTGGTGAAAATTGATAGATTCACTACTGTTTGTACCAGCTGAAGCTATGACTCAGTTATTGTACTTTTAAATGCTATTTAGAAATACAGTTTAGTTAGAGCATTGACACAGAATGTCCATAAAGAATAATTATCAAAATGTAGTCTTCTTTTATCCTTCATCTATATTACTGATATGAAATGTGTGGAAAATATTGTCTTTAAAATCATATTTTACATCGAGAGTTATCTGATTGCCACCAAAAGGCTTTGCAGCAGTTTTTAATTTAGCCTTATGTATTTTTAACATGGCAGCTGGAGCACAGCGTGCATATGGCATAATAATAGAGGAGACTTCTAGTCAGTTCTGTCTGTTTTTGCAAAGAAAAAATCAAGAATAAGCAAAAAGGTTTAAATTGCATGCTCTGGATAAAAACAACAGACACTGCCTGGCAAACTGGGGCAGTGTGCAGGGACTATTTCATTATTCCATCTCTGATTTGTTTTTCAGGGGTTAGCTGGATTTTTGTTTGTTTTCAATTAAACTGCTGTAGTGTACATTGAGAGATCTATCATTTATCTATCAAACAGAAAGCAGGCTTGAAATGCAGCCTTACTATACAACTCCATTTTCAGTTGCTCCTCACTTTGCAAACAAGAAAGTCTTTTGACTTGAAATGTCCTGCATATGATCATAAAATTTGGGTGCTTGTTTGTTTCTGCAAATCTGGGTCTTACTCAGCCTTTTTGAAGGTAGTGTTTAAAAATAAGTATGTACTAACTGATTAAGGACATGAAAATAAATGTGGGTTTTTTTTATTATTTTATACTAGAAAAAAAAAAGAAAATAAATGATGTAGAGATATCACTATTTTTAGAGCAAATAAACTCTCAAGCTTTAAAATAATATGTATTCAGTTCTCTCACTCTCTCATGATACTCTCAGTGGGATTTTTCTGGTAGGCTTCTTTTTCCAAACTGTATTTTGAAATGAATGTTGTTTATAGGTGATCTTGTACATGGAATAAGTTTTTTGGAACTATTTTGATGAATTGAGTGGATCCAAAATGAGCTCTTAAAACTCAACTTCTTCAAAGATTTTTGAACTTCAAAGAAGTGTTAAAGACAATATTAAACTGCTATAAAACTATGGGAAAAAGAACTAGAATTGCTTCTCATCGTTCTTCTCTTTTTAAAGAAAAAAAAAAGAATCCTAATAGAAAATGCAAACAAAATTCTTGGTCAACAAAGAATTTAAATGTGGGGAATGCAGAGTATAGTTCATTAAATATATTTCAGTTCTGGTCTAAATTTAACATCAATTTTCCTGTTAATTTTTAGCATATCAAATAATGAAAAGAGTGATTTGCAGAAGTCTTTTATTCAAAAAATGGTTGTGGACATGAGAAGCACAAATACTTCCTTGTCATGTGATTTCCTCGCAAATTCACTTCTTTTCTACCATGCTGCAATTCTTCAGTTGTTTGGCCTGTATTAGTCTGGTCTTGAGCAGCTGAGTCTGTTTAAGTCTCTGCAGGGGACCTGCATTATATTTCTGGCTTGACACTAATAAACTGGCCAGCTTGACAAGTTTTTCTTTTTACTAGAAATAATGAACCTAAACTGTTTTTGTAAAGTGCCTTTGAAAATTCACATATGAAAAAAAGTTATATAGCATTAGGTATGATTTATTTTGGCTTGTAATAGAGTTCCTTTGCAGGACTGTGGTAAATCAGGGCAAGTCTGATTAAATGGATCTGTAGCATGACGTCCTCTTTTCTTAAGCAAGCCAAGCTCCCAAAATGTAAATACATTAAATGTCACTCTCATTAAATACACATCATGGAACTGCTGAGGAGGATTAAGGAAGTGCAATAATCTTCATTTTACTCTGAATAACTGCTAATGGTCAATGTGACCTGGACACAAATTTTTATTGAAGAAGGTAGGTAAAGAGAAAATTTTCCCTTTATGAGCTCAAGTTGCCTACCTTAAAGTTAATGACCTCTGAATCAACACTTGATGGTTGAGCACATAAGCAATTGGGGCTGAGATGGAATACTTTAAACACCTATTGACATTCTGAAGCTGTTTACATTCTGACCTTTCATGACAGAATGAGTTCAGCCAGCACACAAGAGAATGTCAGAATCTGCTGCAGAAACTGACTGCAATTATGAGACTAGAAAAGGAAACAAAGGCCTCAGGCAATATTTTTAGATTGCAGAGTGGTGGGCAGATTATGGATACACTACTTAATGGTGAGGTGACATGCAGGTACCCTTTTAAAAGGTCACACTTGCCTGAGCTGGGAGTGGTTTGGTTTGCAGTGGTGGCAGAGTCTCTTACTGAAGTGGTTTCCATTTGAGATGGCAGGCATTGCCTGCCTGATGTTCCTGAATACAGAGATGTGAAAAATAATATTTCTGGAAGTTGGATTGCTGTTTGGCAGACTTGATGTGGTGTTAAATACGGTTTGTAACGTTATGGTAATTTCCAGTCTGATTTCTTTACTG